TTTAGGGTTTAGGGGTTTAGGCTTGGCGCGTGTCAATGCGTATGAAAGCGGGCTTGAGCCCTTGCAAAGCGAGAGCGAGAGAGAACCAAGGCGGAATTGGTGGTTTGGTTGTGTACTAAGCCTTAAACCCCAAGCCCTCAAACACAAGGGAGGTCCAAGCCCCGATATTGTTGACTCACGGGGTGCTGAATCTAATGTGGGAAGAACGGCCAGACAAAAGAGCTCAGAGGCATGCTGGCAGCCGTGGTCACGTCACTGGTGATCATCCTTTATCAGGCCGGTACAACTGTGTGGCTTTCTAGGAAATGTCCTCCACATCGCCGCCAGTGCGTGCAGGTTGTGAACCCAGACATTGTGGAACTTGGCTTCCGGTCGCGAGATGGGGAAGACACACACAGTAGCAGGCACGACACTAGCGCTCGATTCTTGAAAGCCTCCATGTTTGCCTTCTCGACCAGGGCTCGCAAATGGATGGCTTTAGATCGAGCAGGCTTGCGTTTCAGATCCAGGAAGCAGCCCTGCCCCCATGGTATGTCCCCCTACTTGGAGGTGCTTGCAGGGAGCATGGGATCCTCGTGCTTCGGATGGAAGGCCCTTTGTTCTACGCAAATGCCAGCTCCCCAGGCTTTGCCCCGAAAGTCACAAGATCTGCGCCACAGCCCCGCCGAGGTCGAGAGATTGCAGGAATGGGTCGAAGAGCAGGACGCTGGCATGGCCTACATGTGGGTAGTTGTCAAACTTATGGTCCCTTTTATGGGTACCCTAAATAATAGGTGCCGTGTTATAACCAGGACCCCAAAAAGGGACCCTACTTTAGAAAACTACCCATGTAGATGTGCAGAAGCACAAGCAAACAAGCTGCCGCATGTCCATCCTCTGCTGCCTTACTTTGTGCTGCATCTCGAAGGAGCTGGATTATAGCGAGAGGAGTGGAATCGACAACTCGCTGGACGGCATCATTCTATCGGCAGCAGGGCGAGCATTCGTAGCATGTGATTGGCATAGGAGGCTTAACTCTCGGTTGCTTGAATGTTCGTTTCTGCCTGGTGGCTTCGGCAGATGCGTGGTTGTGGATTGTAGACAGATTTCAGTCAGCAGGCCGCAGGCCTGGGACACTCTAGCTGATGCCCTCCTGAACCTTGCAACATTGGCAGCCATTGCCTGATAGCTAGACTTGAGCAAGTGATGAACAACGCACTCAGCCGAGGCATCTGCTATTCCATTTATGGACACATCAGCCGTGCAGACGCTGTCCGCACTCATAAAAAACGTGGCTTGCTTCGGAATGTACCGACTGCATCGGGCAAACTTGATGACTCCACGACAAGACTGTTCTTGTAGACAGCTTAAGTCCATAACTTCTGCTGACGAGAAATTGCCGGAAGGGTGTAGAGAATAGATGTTGTCTTTGCATCCCAGTTTGCACACTGTGCTCCGCCGATAGCTCGGCCTCGCTAGCCAGAGTGGTCATGCAAAGCATGGTCTTCATCTGATACCTCTCGCGCGTGCACTGAAGTGCTATCCCCCCATCCCTATTACTCGTCGAAATCGGCACAGGGACACGAGAGGATGGCCTTGACTTTCGTGATCAAATGACAATGACATGAAGAGATTCCTGAGTTTTAGGCATGTGATTTCAGTGATTCCTACTTGCCAGCCAGCTCAGGTGTGCTGGGCGTGGGACCCTTTTCTGCATCGCCAATACATTTGGCACCACGGGTCGACACTTGCCTGGCAAGCTAATCGCAATGAGACTAAGGCATGTATGCATCAGAAGCAAATCAGCAGCAGCGATAACGAGAGTAGGAGTAAGAGCAGCAACAGCTGTAAGCGTGAGTATCTGCGTTAGCAGGAGCCGGAGCAGCGTAGAGTAGGAGCAGCAGCAGCGGCGGCGGCGGCGATTGCATAGAAACAGGCTGCAGTTAGGCAGCAGTAGCCGTGCCGTAACTCTCAATAACGACCGTATACGACCGTGAGCATAGCAGCAATACGATGACTCGGACCATGCTCGAAGTACTAGTGGTAATCGTGACATGGCAAGTACTACGAACTATCGTCGTCGTCGTCGCCGCCGTCGTCGTCGTCAACCGTTGTCAGGGAGTAGCGGCAGCAGACGTGCAGGAGCAGGAGTAGGAGCAAGAGCGATAGCCGGAGCAACAGAAGTAAGTTGCGGCAATGTTATTGTTGCCGTCGTTCCTTTCTGTCACAAGTGTGACTTCCTGGCTTGGCTTCTCCGTATCGTAGCATGACCTTTCTTGCGTCTCGCGGGTGTGCACAGAGGGCTTGGGACCTGGGACCGCAACATTCTAATTACTTTAGGAGGGACCCCTAATAGGGACCCTTAATCCCATTAATTACCTTAAATAGCCATTGTGTAGTCCTTATATACCCCTGTTTTAGCCAGGTAGTCTCCATATTAACCTGAGAAACATGGGACATCTCGTCTTGCAGAGTCCTGCGGAGGAATTGCTGCAGACAAGCTCGAGCCGCTGATGCTCGCTGCACTGAAGACGAGCTATCTGAAGACCCAGCTCAAGAACAGTGCCAGCTTCCGGGCTTGTACAGGGTTTAGGGTTTAGGGTTTAGGGTGTACCGGTAGTAGAGGTAGATCACAATACTTCACACGAGGTATTGATGACTTCGTCAAGCTCGTTCGTGGGCATCGAGAGGCACTGGTGCGATGCAGAGTGAAGAAAATTATGATGTTCAACTTGAAGCATTCCTGGCGCTTGGAGCTTAGGGTTAGGGCTTAGCTCTTTTTGGGACTTCGTGGTTTTTCGCCTTGGGTCTACCAGTAGCACATGCCAGCATCCACGCCATCTCGAAAAACTCCGGTCGGATTCAGGCGTAGAGCCCGGGGATCGGATTCTGCGAACGGGCCAACGACACGCCTTTAACCAGACTCGGAAAGCAAGTCAGTTGAGCTCTAGTAGATCCGCATGGGAGGCTCTGGATATTAGGGACCCTAAACCCTAAACCCTAAACCCCTAAACCCTAAACCCCTAAACCCTAAACCCTAAACCCCTAAACCCTAAACCCCTGAGCCCTAAACCCCTAAACCCTGGAGGCGCTGGATATGCGGGACGAGAGGCCCCTCCGATTGGTTCGCTGTTCCACTCTGCAGGCAAAGAGCCGCTCATATACGAAAAGAGCGACTGCCAGACTCGGGGTTCCCTAAAGGTTCAGGGTTTAGGGTTTAGGGTATAGGGTATAGGGTTTAGGGTTTAGGGTATAGGGTATAGGGTTTAGGGTTTAGGGTTTAGGGTTTGGGCTTTAGGGGCCTTGGAGGGGCTTGTGAAAGGTCCTTAGATAGCGTTGGGGCCCCTTCTTTCCTGAACATCTCTGAAGTTTTTGGGAAGCTTATTGGAGATTGAAAAGTTGGTCTGCGGGGACTCATGGGCTTCGGCAAGCAGGCACGCAGGCTGCTGGATGCTTCTATGTAGGCCGTGAACAGGACATGAAAGAGCTCAAAGAGTTGGCTTGACAGTCTGCCATAGATTTGATTTGCGAAGTGTCACCTCATTTGGATGTGATTGTCTCCACGATTCATCGAAGATGCTGACTGCCAAACACCCCTCTCACGGTGTATGTTTGTGGGAATGTAAGATTTCATCAAGCTCACACTCCGAGAGCCTGCAAGTACACCCGAGGCTGCATTATCTCGAAGAAGTGATACCGCTTGGCCCAGCAGTGGGCCTACTGCTGATGCTGATGCGGCGCTCGCTCGCTCGCTCTCTCTCAATCTCTCTCGCTCCCGGTCTCTCTTTCTCTCTATGTCTCTCTCTCTCGCTCTCTTTCTCTTTCTCTCGCCTCGCTTGCAGTCTTCGTGCTGTGGCAAAGGCCATTCGCCTCACTCGTTTTGTCCGGCCGGTCCTTGAACATGCTGTCGTTTCGCAGCTTTGATGCTGCATGTGGCGCTCGGACCTCTCTTCCATAGGCCTCTGGAAGTTTCACGATGTTTGGCGCAGTTGCACGATACAGAGTGAATCTCAGTCCTTCCTTGACAGTATTGAGACAAGAACTGGACGAATTCCCTTTTGCAACTGGTGCGAAAGCTTCAGCGCTCGCCCGCTGAGCCCGCTTCTCGCTGGCATGTTGCGCAGGAGCCAAGAGTGCATCCTGTATCGTTTAGATGTCTGTGCTTATAAAACAAAGGTCCTGTTGGAAGTCGGCTTCTGTCCCCGACCCGAAACTGAAACCTTGAACCCAGAACTGTAAGTAGGACATCTAGCCTCATGGCTTCTCCAACATCTGAACACAGGCGCCGCCCATGAAGAGTCAGGAGGAGGCCTCGGGGCCCTGGCCGTCTTACGACCTTGTCAGGTAGAACTATACAGTGACTATACGACTATAGCAGGAGTACAACTGCAATATAGCTACAGTATCACTATGACAAAACTAAAGCATAGCTATAATAGTTTGGCTATGACATCACAAGTAACCAGTGCTTGCTTGGGTGTTCAGTTTGGACACGGCCAACATGAAGCCTGAGCAGACTCGCTGCGATTTCCTTTGCTGAGGTGCACCCCGCCATTATGCAGTGCATCATCATGCTGGCGTGATGCTCAGTCTGAGAGAGCACCTGGCCAGATCACGCCAGAAGAGTTTAGAGATGTGAGAGCTGATTGAGACTCGGAGCACAGCTTACCAAGAGCGGATGATAGCGGATGCTTCAGAAATCAGAAGGCAGAAGACAGGGTTGGACAGAAAAGCTGCCCTGAGCTGAATGGACCACCTGGACCAGGATAACATGGGCTGCACGTGTTTCTTGGATTCAGGTGCAAGTGCTTCAGAAAGAGCTTCGTGCTGCCCTCGAGGCTGCGCAGTCATTTCTCGTCATTTGCAGTGAAAGCATGCAGCATGCGGGGTCATGCGCAAGTGCCACGGTACCTTCAGTGAGGATTGCCCATAATGTAGGGGCCTCAATAATTACCAATATTAGTTTGCGGGTTCCTTATTATATTTATAGTATAATGGGCCCCAAACCCTATTGTGGCTGAAGGTTCGTGACAGGGAACGACTCTCAGCCGGCTTGGAGATGCTGCGCTACGCGAAGGTTCGTTCCGCGCCAAACACGCTCATATAGTCTTTCTGTTCCTGGTTGGACATTGCTGATGTAGATTCTACAAGCTTTTCTTTTTTTCCGGCCCCTTAAGCAAACACAAGAAAAGACTATGATTCCGACCGCACAGGTCGCCCAATTGCCTGAAGAAGAGCCTGCCATCAGGACTGGGGTACCGTCGCTTGCGGTATGCCGCCAAGTGCAGTGCACCTTAGGGTTTAGGGTTAGGGTTTAGGTTTAGGGTTTAGGGTTTAGGGCACTGCTCAGAGTCTTCTTGACCATCTCAGGCTTTCGCAGTCCAGTGCCATTTTTCCTTTCCATCGGAGGACGCTTGTGGCAATCGAACTGGAGGCCGCGATCGCGGCGCGCAACGAGCTCGAGCTGAAACAGGCAGAGGGCAAGCTGTCAGCTATAGCTGGTCCTGGGAGAACTGAAGGTTTCGGTCGCGTTTTCGCCACCTTGACGTTGGCTTCTTGCCTGCTCAAGGGAACCATGGCATCATGCAGCTCAAAGCATCGAGCTTGCATGTGCAGGAATTACCGAAAAAGATAAGCCAACAACGATGTACATGGATGAACTACACAAGCAGCCAGCCGCTCCAGTTTCAATTGTGGGAATGCCTGTGGGATATTGACCCGACTCTAAGCCGAACAGCATGGGCCTTGCCTCTTCTACAAACTCGCTGGATGCGGTGAGGACAGCTCTGGCATGCTCTGGCTGCACAGGCTGCAAGGTGTTGTGGACGGTACTGTAATGCATTTCGGTCGTCGCAAGTGCCGTCGACTTCCAGAGTACTAGAGCAGCAAAGCTCCAGCCGGCTGGTGTCTGAAGCGGAGGGTGGCGCGCAATAATTGCAGCGCAAGCCGTCGCCCGGACTAGTTCAGCACGGGTGTCAAGCATGGTCGGCTAATGTCGGATCGCTGACAGTGAATGTGTATCAGACGCAGTGTGTTCTTGCGGCATCCGACCGGGCGTGAGTCTCAAGCTGTCAGGTGCCGTGCATTTCCCGACACTGCTTTGAAGCTGCATTGCGGCATTGCTCTTGCCATAGAACATGTAAGGCTGGAAGCAGAAGGGCAAAAGTCCGTCTTCTCTGATCAACGTGACATTGCGACGGTAGCACTACAGAAATGATGAAGTCGGACCATACTGTAACGCAGATTAGCAGTCACAGTTGTATCTGTGGTTGCAAATTGCCTCGAAATCGTCTTTGTCGCCGTCCCCCTGGTCGTCGTCGCCGGCATAGGAGCAGCAGCAGCAAGTAGTATGAGTAGCAGTACCAGTGCCAGTACTAGTAGCCGTAGCAGTAGGAGCAGTAGGAGAAGAAATAGGAAGAAGTAGCAGCAGCAGGAGTAGGCGTAGGAGTAGGAGTAAGAGTAGGAGTAGCAGTAGGAGTAGTAGTAGTAGTAGTAGTAGTAGTAGTAGTATAGTAGTAGTAGTAGTAGTAGTAGTAGTAGTAGTAGTAGTATAGTAGTAGTAGTAGGCGCCCCCCCCCCTACCAACTACACTTGCTTAAAACCATCTTAAGAGCACATCCGTTTTACTCGGTATTTGCAGCAC